AATACACACACACACACACACACACACACACACACACACACACACACACACTGCAGGGCTGATGGGAAAAGTGGGAACAGGTGCGCATGTAAGGCGAGGCGGGGGAGGTTAAATAATAGGGTAGGGTGAGGAAAAGTGGCAGCATCTGAAATGACAGGAGAGTGAGTAGATGGCAAGTAAAGCAATGCAGACATAAGCATGTGTAAGTAAGAGTTAGCTGATGTTGTGACAGCCTCTGAGTCAGACCTGTAACAGCCATTACGGCCAACTGCACCATCGAAGCCAGTGCAGCTTTCTGTCAAAGATGACAGCTTAGACACAAAGGAAAAAAGAAGAAATTTGCTTTTTGAGAGAACTTGTGCAGTAAAAGAAATAAACACAAATATTTTTTTGTGAGGGTATTAAAGTTTTGTTGCATAATGACACAAGTCTACATCATGCAACTCAAGTTATCACAGTGTTTTATAACAGAATGTGCAGGCAGGTGATTTAGTTCAGTGTTATAGAAATCTTGTTTTTGCACGATGAGTAAAATGTCTCCACCGTGGAAATCAAGTCATTACAACATGAACAAAAGGTTGTAGTAATGTGAATAATAGCTGGTTAGAGCCTGAATATTCTTTATTTCTGTGGGACTGACAGAAAAAGCCGTCTGTACCCTGATCTGCACTCCCACTCAAGATATTACCTGCGTTTCTGTTAAGTGATGCCATGTCAGTGGACTGAACTGTGTGTCTACCTTGTAATATATATGGGTAGTAAACTGTAGCAGAAGATGTCTGCAACTATCAGGCTGATGTCATGTCAGAAAACACAAACAGTGTGAACAGATAAATCAGTGAGCACACTGAGTTTCTCCCCGTCTGTTATCAAAGTGACTTCTTTTGGTTCTTTTGCTCAACCATTTTGCACATTAAGGATTCATAACTCAGTAGGCTTCAAACTCCCATACAGATAAGAATTTTTTTGTAAAATTTTCTGGAACTGTCAAACTGACAGTCAAGCCCAGTTTACGCACTGATTAACCAGAGACGGGATTATAGTTCTCTCTCAGGTCTGCTTACCTGTCCGGGGAGATCGAAAATTGTGCACTGTTGGTGATTCATCATGTTGAGACTACAAAAGTAAAGTTTCCAGAGAATGTCCTGAAAATCTGCAAAAGAAAATGTAAATGAATGTTTCCGTCCATAAACTACTGTTGTATGAACATGAGCTCATTGGTTGATGGGGATAAACAGCTGGTGGAGCTGAATTCTACAGTCACTGCCATTAAACCATTGCAGAAGAGGAAGACACAACTACATGAAAGTTCAAACGATGGAAACAATGTGAAAAACATGGAGGAAATATGACAAGTTTGTTAGTGCTAAGTTATTGTTAATGCAAACTCGGTTACTTATAGTCATGGATGTAGCCTGGCCTGAGCATTCAAGGCTGTAACCTCAAAGATTTCTTTTGTGGCCCCGAATTACTCTCCTCTCTGAGTTTCTCACTAAAGAAGACAGATTTATATAGCACCAGTTCATAACAGAAGTTCTCTCATTGCATGTTTCATACAGAGCAGGTTTAGACCGTACTCTTTGTAATATTTACAGAGACCCAACGTGAGCAAACACCTGACGACAGTGGAAAAGACAAAAGCTCCCTTTTAGCAGCAGAACCATGATCCAGGGAGGGCGGCTATCTGCCTTGACTGGTTAAGACCTATCAGAGAGGGACCAGGACAGCATGAGAGAACACAGGATGGACCTTCAGGTACCTCACAAGCCTGACTACCTGCGTGCTGCATTTCCACAGGCGCCAAAACCCTATTTCATGTTTAGGTGTGAAATCTCTGCTCAGACCTAAAATATGTGTTGCTATTTTCTGCCCTTGTAAGACTGCATGTCAGTCCGGAAAATGCAATTCTAGTCCTTTTTATGCTTTAGTTTTATTTAATGACAACTTCAAACATTTAAGTGGGTTGTGGGATGAACGCAAAAAGTTCACTTGACCCTGTGTTCAATTCATCAACAGTCTATTCCCAGCACTGGAGAAAGCACTATGTGCATCCACACTACTATGTTTTTGTTTTATCGGCGTTTCAGAATTAATCTCAAGTCTGTATTAAAACAACTGAAAACTCACCTAGCGGCCAAACACATACACTGAACATGTGCGTGCCGATGTATACAGGAAAGAGATTGTTTAATCCAAGGTTGCAGAAGATTTTGCGAAATAAGAAAGTAATATTATAGAAGAAGAACCACACCGGAGATTTGTTTTTGAATGGACCGTCAACGAAACCCTTGCAGAAAGTCACACGGGAGTACAAAGCCACTGTGGCTGCAGAAAACAGACTGGGAGTTGTCGCAAAGTAAATTTGATTACTTTTACCTCATTATTTGAAACTTTGGCCCTGTTTAATATGATCATCTGACATTGCAAGATTTCCATGACAGAAAATAAGGGACAGCGTAATAATAGGTTCCCTTTAAAGGGATAAAGCTTCATTGAAGTCAGTACTTTAGTTCCAAAGGCAAACTGTGTGTTTGTGTGGTTGAAGTGGCAACTTAGGGTTAGTTTTAACTGACATAAGACCAAATCTACTTTTCATTTTGAACTGGGAGTTTTCTTTTGAAAAGGTAAAAGATGAAATGAGTCTCAAAAACATCCAAAAATAACTGTGGAACCGAGCTGTAAATTATGCTCTGAGAGACTTTATATGTGGCGAATGTCGTTCTTTCATCCCACATTCTCACATTTAGTCACTTAGAAAAAGTGAAACTAAAAAAAGTTTTTGAGTTTTTCTTCTTCCAAATCGAGGGTCTCAGGACACAGAGGCTGACTCAGGCAAATTGTGGTTTCTGATGGCAGCAGTGTTGTTAATGTCCCTCGCCGACCGCCACCGATCCAATTCTCCCCGTCCCAGGGTGCCTATCAGCAGCTGAGCAGCTGGGTGCTGCCTCCTCGCAGCGCTCCTCCCTGGCTACACGGGGTCAAACCTTCACATTTCGGGGTCGGGGAGTGAATCAAAGCAAATATTCTCTGACTGGGAGAGGCTTTTGATCCCAGCTCGCTGCTCCTTTCACAGTTACATGAAAGTCTGCTCTTCACTGTTAATTGGATTGATGTTCCTCCATCAGGTTCAAATCCTCGCAGTGGATGGCCGTGACTCAGATGTGACAATAAGGTGATGACTTTTAATCACGCTGTTACCGCCCGCTCAGTCAGGCCTGTGATGTGAGGGAGGGCTTCGTGGAACCGAATCAGACTTGTCCAGATTACCATTCAATGACACACTCTTAGCAACCTTTGGCGAGATGCCCTTGAGTAAAGCACTTAACGCCATAAATGGTGAACCCACATTTTTCCCTGCTTTCATCTTTCTTTTATTACCAATTATCTTCCTAAAGTTCAACTATTGTCTAATTTGCTGATTTTGTTTCCTTATCAGTTATCATTTGCTCCCCTGCCTCTCTCTGTTTTTCCTTTCCTCCTCTACCTCTCATGTCGTCATCCTATCCGTTTTCTTCTGTTTCCTTCATCACCCTCTCGTTCTTTTTACTTCCTCTTCTTCCTCAACCTTTTGTCGTCTTTCTCTCTCCTCCTTTCCCTGTATACTGGTTTTCTCATGTTTTAACCTTATCTGCTCTCCCAACCCAACTTTTCCTCTGCTTCTTCCTTTTCTCTTGTATGTGATCCTTTCCTCTATCATCTGTTTGACCCTCATCTTTTCATTCTTTTGTCTTCTTTTCCCTCTTTCTTCTGCTTTTCCCCTCCATCTTCTTGCCTCCTCTGCTTCCTTTCTTTTTGTACTCTCTCCATCTCTTCTCTATTTATTGTTTCCCCTCCTCTCTTTTACCCCAGTCTCCTGGAATTTAGTGAAACAAGCTCATTGCCTTAAAATTCAGATAATGAACTCTGACATCCGAGCTCCTCATCCTGTCTCTAAGCATGAGCACAGACACCCTGAAAAGTAAAATTAACTGTATTTGCGATATCATTCTTTCAGTCACTACTCAAAACTCATTAACCGAAAGAACGCTGAATCGCAGGTCCACTGGTAAATCAAGAGATTCACCTTCAGCCCCTGAATTACTGCTGACACAGCACCAATCTGCCCGTTAATCTCGCACTTCATTTTATGCTCTAATTGTGCTTCTGCAAATATTCACACATCTCTGGGTCAGTGCACTCGTTTTGCACGCCTCCAGATTTCAACAGCAAATAATTTAAACCTCTGCATCAAGCAAGCTGATTGGTGGCTCAAGCTTCTGACAGGAGGTTTGAAATGTTCAGACACAGGTATACTCAAATTTTACACACAAACAGAACTACAGACATCTTCGAACAACAACTGAAACAAGACACTAAGATTCTTCTTCACTTTGGACAGCAACTCACTCCCAAACTGGAGGGGCAGCAGAGCACCGCATGCTCTTCTCATTTACAAAGTCCCTCATTTCCTGTCATCTTTCTGTGATGAACACTTGAAATGTCCAAAAATACTAGAGCCTGGACCCAGGTCTTCAGTGGTAATTAAACCCCTCAGTACTGGATTTACTCAGTGTTGGGCCCCTATTGAACCCTCCACAACTTACTGAAATAATAAAAAGGTCTTAAAAGTAAATATAGACCCTTTGACAAAACAGGGACTTCATATTATAGAATAATGCAGGACCTACCTGTGTTGTTTTTATAATTTAAATTTTGCCAAAAATGTATTGACATGCAGGATCTGAGAGGGGGCCCCCTGGAGTCTGGGTCTCTGGGCTACTTGCCGCTTTTCCTGGTTAAAAATTCAGTCTACCCCAGAAAGACCCAGTGGGAGCCATTAACCCATTACTCTACCACTAAAGCAACAAAACACTGTAGATGCCAATTAATACATGTGTCATGCACCGATCCAAAAGATCCCAAAAGTCAATGAGGAAAGAAAATCACTGAGTCTGCAGAAATGAGTCTCTGTAATATATATTAATAACCATGTTTTTTTATTAAAGATATTCAGTCATCAGTCAGCTGCAGCCTCACTTCTGCTTCGCTCAGCTTTTTTTAGTAGTATATAATCTAGTAAGTCTTCCTGTTCTCTTCTTTCGGTTCAGTAGGAGGGTTAATGAAGAAGCTGTTGAATAAGAATTGAGACAAAATGCAAAAGATTTTTAAATCAACATTGAATTAAATGACAGTATCTGATAAAGTGGGTTGCATTGACAAACCCACTAAGAATTCTCACCAGCTCTGCAGTTAGACGGAGCTTTTTTGCCTCTTTTAGCTCCTAGTTTTGGTTTTACTGCACATTTGTTGTCTGGTTCAGTCTTAGTTTGGAGCACCAGGCGCCTCTGATAAACACCACCTGCCGAGCAACAAACAGCAGACACAGAAACTAGCAAGTGAAGATACTGGGACCTGAACTGAATAATTTAATAAGCATGCATTTTTATAATCAATAATCTATGTTGTTTGCCATAAAGATGATTATTTGCAGTGTTTTTGCATTAAAGTAAGTTGAGTAACTTGAGGTTTTAAATTGTAAAACAAGCAATTTGAAAATGTTACATAGGGCTTTGTGATGGCCATGGCTACTTTATATAGATCAAATGATTAATCAAGTCAAGGACAAAAAATGCAAGCAGTTGAGATGGCACGAAGAGTTACTGGTTTCATGGCCATGATGGACTGATGGATGGATGGCTCAGGTTGAACTGGCAGAAAAACTAAAGCAAAAACACAAGGCAACTAGGACAAATGACAGAGGAACGAAGGAGATCTGGGTTATTATACGTACAGAGTGGCTGATGAGGGAATCAGATGCAAATGAGGAGGTGGGCGGGGACAGCCAGGTCAGGGGAAATGAGGCAATTGCAGGGCAGATGGGAGAGGTAGGATCTGTAATGACAGGAGGAAAGTCTGGTGGACTGGGAAAGAATAACGTTGATGGGGCCTGGGAGATTGGAGATGTGGCTAATGAATACATGCACATCCAGAGCGCTTTGCAAATCTGAAAAACACAAGCGCATTAACACAAAACACAAATTACAATTCAAATGTATTTTCTCCGGTCATCACAGGCCTGCTTCGTTAGTGCTCACTTCATTCATGTTGTGATTTTTGCATTTGTTTGACGTGTCTCGGCCACTGTGGAAGAGAGGCGGACACTGTGACAAGAGACATTTTTCTCAGGAGCTGGTGGACACAAACACCACTCCATGGTCTGATCATGTTGCTCTGTCAGCAGGGCCCAGTTGTTCAAAATGTTTAGTCTGTATCAGAATGATCTAGATTTGGAAATCCCATGTTTTGCTATCCTGAATCACATAACCCCTCTTACTTTTGTGCTGTTTTTTCAAAGCAACATTGGATTGGATCACCCTGATCCAGAGCAAGCCCAGGATTGGATTAGCTGATCTGATTTCAGAATCCTTTTTCTTTTGAACAACCCATTTTCAAGATTTTTCCCAATCCAGTCCTGCTCCAATAGGCCACAAATGGATTTAGTATTTAGTAACAGACCTGAAAGAATTTTAAAATGTTAACTGGACTGTCTGATCATAATCCGACCCTTGTGGCCAGAAAACTAACCCATAAGCGATTCAGCCTTTTTTATCACTGAATATGAATCTCTTAGAATCCCTAAAAACAAACAGGAGCACTTTAAAATGGACGATATACTGATGGAAATAAATAGTGAGGAAAACAGTCAAACATTCTCATAAGTAATTGTGAGCACTGTGAAAGATTATAACAGTACATTTATGCGCAAAAGAACCACAAACACCATCCCTTGGATAAATGCAGATATATTAAAACTTACGAAGGAAAGTGATCTTGCCTTAAAAACTGCAATAAAAACTAAATTCATACATGACAGACAGCATTTTGCTGCATTAATGAACAGTGTGGTAAAGATGTTGTGAAAATCTAATATCTTGTCAGTAATAAAAGCAAGTAAGTAAGCAAGTAAAAAAGAGCAAAGGGAAACTCTAAAATCATCTGGAACCAACAAAAAAAACCCTAACCTTACAAATAATCCAGTGGAAGTAGTAGAAGCTTTCTACCACTACTTTATTGATTCTGTAGCTACTATTGCAGTGTTTTTCACCTGAGTACACGGATATATGTCCTGTTAATACAATGGAGCTGACTTTCAACATAAGGAACGTCACTGAATCAGAAGTGATAAGAATAATCAAATCTCTCAAACCATCTAGGGCCAAGAAAATTTTTGGCATGGATGGACTTGGTATAACACTAAATAGTCCCATTACCAGAATTATTAACCTCTGGATTTCCTAGGCAAAGCTTCCAAGTGTTTGGAAGCCGGAGAAATATTGACAAATTTGTTGGAAAAAGCGATCTCAGAAAGAAGCAGAAAGTTTTGCAGTTGCATTATAAATTTGAAGGTTGTATTCAGGCTGTCAAATTAACTCAAACAGACGTGAAAAAAAAAAAGATAGAATCTAAAGCCTACTGATCACACAGTAGGCAAAAAAATGAACCACTGCTTCCCCCGACGATTGAGACAAAAGGGTGATGTCATCAAGGGAAACTATATCTTCAGATAATGCGTCACGGAGGTGCTTAGGCCCCAGAGCAATAACTTCAGTTTTATCTGAGTTTAACATTAGAAAATTACAGGTCATCCAGGTTTTAACATTCTGAAGGCACATTTGAAGTTTAGCTAACTGATGAGTTTCATCTGCTTTGATCGATAGATATAACTGAGTATCATCTGCATAACAATGAAAGCTTATGGAATATTTCCTGATAATATTGCCTAAAGGAAGCATATATAAAGTGAAGAGGATTGGTCCGAGGACAGATCCTTGAGGAACTCCATGACTAACTTTGGCATGCATGGAGGACTCATCGTTAACATGTACAAACTGAAATCGATCTGATAAATAGGACTTAAACCAGCTTAGAGCGGTTCCTTTATTGCCAATGAAATATTCCAGTCTCTGCAATAGGATCTGATGGTCAATGGTATCAAATGCAGCACTAAGATCTAATAAAACCAGTACGGAGACAAGTCCTTTGTGTGATGCAATAAGGAGGTCGTTAGCAATTTTCACCCGTGCTGTCTCTGTGCTATGATGAGCTCTAAATCCTGACTGAAAATCCTCAAATAAACTATTGCTTTGTAGAAAGTCACACAGCTGTTTAGCAACTGCTTTCTCCAGAACCTTAGAGAGAAATGGAAGGTTAGATATAGGTCTATAGTTGGCTAAAACATCCGGATCAAGTTTGGGCTTTTTCAGAAGAGGTTTAATTACAGCTACTTTAAAGTACTGTGGTACATAGCCTGTTGATAGAGATAGATTGATCATATCTAGTATAGAAGTGCTGACTAAGGGTAAAACATCTTTAAGCAGCCTAGTTGGGATGGGGTCTAAGAGGCAGGTTGATGGTTTGGATGAAGAAATTATTGAAGTTAGTTGGTAAAGATTGAGGGAAGCAAAACAGTCTAAACATATATCTGGTTCTACAGCTTCCTGAGGTAAGAGATAAGTTGGTGCCAGTTGAGGGCAGGTCTTGGTGAATTTTGTCTCTAAGAGTTAGAATTTTATCATTAAAGAAGCTCATGAAGTCGTAACTACTGAGAGCTATGGGAATACTCGGCTCAATAGAGCTGTGACTCTCTGTCAGCCTGGCTACAGTGCTGAAAAGAAACCTGGGGTTGTTCCTATTTTCCTCTATTAATGACGAGTAGTACGCTGCTCTGGCATTACGGAGGGCCTTCCTATAAGTTTTAAGACTATCTTGCCAAATTAAACGTGAATTTTCCTCTCAACTTTCCGCGATATTTGCTTTAATTTGCGAGTTTCAGTATTACACGTCTTTGTTTCAGTATTTTCTTTTTTAGAAAGGCTACAGAGTCGAGTGTCATTCGCAGCGAGCCTGCAGCACTATCAACAAGACGATCGATTTGGGAGGGACTGAAATTAGCACAGGAGTCCTCCGTTACTTTGTGACTTGATAATGAATTTAGAGCTGATGGAACCGCATCCTTAAGTTTAGCTACAGCACTATCAGACAGACATCTTGTATAGAAATTTTTGCCCAATGGCGTGTAGTTCAGCAATACAAACTCAAAAGTTATCAAACAGTGGTAAGACAGAGGGATTCTGTGGGAACACCACTAAATGTTCAATTTCAATACCATACACCAAAACAAGGTCGAGGGTGTGGTTAAAACAGTGAGTCGGTTCATGAACACGCTGAGAGAAGCCAGTGGAATCTAACAGAGATAAACGCAGTACTAAAGCTGTCATTCTCAACGTCCACATGAATATTAAAATCCCCTACAATAATAACTTTGTCCGTTTTAAGGACTAAAGTTGACAAAAAGTGCAAATTCAGATAAGAATTCAGAATACGGGCCAGGTGCTCGGTACACTATAACAAAAAGAATTGGTTGCAGTGATTTCCAACTTGGGTGCGAAAGACCAAGAACAAAGCTTTCAAATGAATTATAGTTTAGTTTAGGTTTAGAGCTGATTAGTAGGCTAGAGTCGAAGATAGCTGCAACTCCACCTCCTCGGCCTGTGCCTCGAGGAATGTGAGCATTAATATGACTGGGAGGGGTGGATTCATTTAGGCTAACATATTCTCCATCACCCAGCCAGGTTTCAGTAAGACAAATAAATCAATATCATAATCTGATATTAGTTCATTTACTAGTACAGCTTTAGAAGAGAGAGATCTGATGTTTAAGAGTCCACATTTAACTCTCCTATTCGTTTGCACTATTGCTCTTGTGGTTTTAATTTTTATGAGGTTTTTATGCACAGCTCCTCTTCTGTTTACCTTTTTAAATAATTTCGATGGTCGGGGGGCAGACACCGTCACTATAGGATTTTCACTAAGTAACTCCTGAAATGGAGGAGCAGAGAAGTGTGTTAGACTGCGCCTCCTGGTCTCAACTCTGGGTTGTCATGGATTTGGTCCACTAATAAACTTGGCCAGATTTCTAGAAATGAGAGCTGCTCCTTCCCAAGTGGGATGGATGCCGTCTCTACGGATCAGACCAGGTCTTCCCCAGAAAATCTGCCAATGATCTACAAAGCCCACATCGTTTGCTGGACACCACCTCGACAACCAGCGGCGGAATGACGACATGCGGCTATACATGTCATCACTGGTCAGATTTGGCAGGGGTCCAGAGAAAACTACGGTGTCCGACATTGTTTTTGCATATGTACACACCAACTCAACAGTAATCTTAGTGACCTCCGATTGGCGTAATCGGGAGTCATTACCGCCGACGTGAATAACAATCTTACTGTATTTACGTTTATCCTTAGCCAGCAGTTTCAAATAAGACTCAATGTCGCCCGCTCTGGCCCCAGGGATGCACTTAACTATGGCCGCTGGCTTCGCTAACGTCACGTTTCTCAAAATGGAGCTGCCAATGATCAGAGTTGGCTTCTCAGCGGGTGTGTCGCTGAGTGGGGAAAATCTGTTAGAAACGTGAACAGGTTGATGATGCCCCATGGACTTTGAATGGTTACGACTATTCCTCCTTCGGACAGTCACCCAGCCACCCCTTCCTGGCTGCACAGGAGATGCCGGAGGACGGCATCTACCAAAGACTGATCTACCAAGGTGCGGAGCCGGACTTCTAAATCACTGAGCCTCGCCTCCATGTCTAAAAATAAACTACACTTATTACACGTACCATTACCACTAAAGGAGGCAGAGGAGTAACTGAACATCTGACACACCGAGCAGGAGAAAGTAGGAGAGAGAGAGGGAGAAGGAGAAGCCATCGCTAGCTGCTAGGCTAAAGTTGCTAACGGCTAAGCTAAAGTACTGTAACGTCAGCTACCAAAACTTTAGAACAACTATGAGATTGAACAGCAGTCACTAAAAGATGGAAAGAACTGTGAGTGCTTAGGCAAAATTACTGTAAAGAATAAGTGTTTAGCGGACAGTTGGCTGCTGTAATCTAACAAATCTAACTGTTATTTAGCGAGAGCAGCACAACACG